GCACAATTAGGAATAAGATAGCCATTTCAACTCACATAATAAAAATTAAGATGCTAATAAGATGCTAAATAAAACACTAATGAATGCAATAAACGTAGAGTCTTTACTGATAAAATGACTTTTATATCAGGAATGAAATAGACTAACTCTTCTAAAAGGAAAATGATAATAAAATGGACTGTACAATGAGAATGAGATGTTTGTTATAAAGTAACATAAAAAGAAACCTGCATGAAAATAATATTTTAATTGAATATGGAAATTCAGCATTGGCTTTGTCGATATCATGTACACTTATATTTTTGTCTTATTGAACCAGGAATTGTTTAACGTTTAATTTCTGCACGAATTTTGATATATGGATAGCATCGTAAAATTGTGTTCAGAGTCAATGAAGCATTAAACAGAGTCTACTTAATTTTAAACCATAATTTTCATGAGTATAATTGATGCAACATTCAGGGCCCATGAAACTTTATTTTGTTATCAATGTAGGATTTATGTACACCTTTACATTTATGTATAATGTTGATTAATTATATGTAAATAATTTTTATGTAAACTTGTCATTACGACATTGGGTGATCATGCAAGACAGGATTACGACTTTGTTCCTTGTGGGTAGTAGTATCATCTAATTAAAAAATGTTACGCAAACTTCTTACACGGAAGTTCAGAAATTTAATTAAATGTACTATAACATACACAAGTTAAGTATCATGATAACACTCTTTGTTCATAATTGATCAAACCAATGCAAACGTTTCAAGATAATTTTAATTCCACAAGAAACAAAATTGTCAGACAATGTGCTTTCAAATTGATTGATAAATATTTCAAAGTTTTATTTGCTTGATCAATTATATTGACTTGTTTGTTTGTGCATTTTAATAAAAAATATATTATTTTTATAAAAAAAAACTGCTGTTGTTCTAAGTAAAAGAAATTTGTTATAAAATTATTTTGTACCCTTTTAGAAAGAAATAAAACATCGATATGAAAAGTATGATTTTGAAGAAATTGTGAATGAAACAAACCACCAGGGTTTGTAAACATTTGAACAATCTACCACTCAACATAGTAACAAATGCTTGAAGTCGCAGCATACAATATTTTAAGCATATCAGATGCTAACTGCTGTCTGAAGGAACAACTTTGAACTTGAGTCCGAGAACAATAAAAAGGTGTATAGTAATGTTAAACGTAAGGTTAGCATTGAAACAAGAAATTTTGGATAGACGCGGATCCTACAATATAGTGGTAAAAAGTAGCTTTACTTGGATGGTTTTCGAGGATATGAAATGAAGAATGTTAAAAGGAGAGGAGCTGTCAATATATTATTATACGAGTGCCATTCGTCATATAATGCAATCCGTCAAATGATTTCAGAAATAAATAATCTAAAGTTCTCAACATTACTTCAAAGTAATTTACGCTTGTGATCAATGACAGACTTCCACCTCCTTGGCAGGTCTTTTATGTCCGTAGCTAGGCATACTCACCCTCGCGTCCGGGGCAAATTCAAGTTATTTCATATTTTAAGGACGAATACCCCTAATGTTAACTTTCAGTTTGGGAAAACAGGCCACTTACGTCACTGGTCCAGGGTTTCCAACTCATAACGCTCTAGCAATGACGTTACAACTTTCCCGCCGTGCGATGATGCGTTGTCGTGCAGAGGTACTATACCGGATGCCTATTGTTTAGGTCGTTCTATTTCTCCTGATTGCCTAAGGGTTTTCTTAGTATTCTCCTCATAGAATTTCCATCAATGATTTTAGTATTGAATGATATTAAATGATTATTTTTTGTTGTCATATTTTATATCAAACCTTGGACAATAGATTTCACATGCATCGTGCTAAAATAAAATAATAATAAAAACTGAAGATAAATCCTGTAGTTATTGTAAACGAACTTGAATTTTCTGTTGGCATAGCCACGAGTGAAATATGATAAATTTCATACCACGAGATGAAAATAAATCCCGTCATCCTTGAAAATAATATGATTTTTCTGTGTCTTTTATAATACCTTTCTATGTTAAGATGATGAAATAGGTATTATAGTTAACTTAATTTTTTGTTCATTATTTACTTTCAATATGAATGAAGAAGAAATAGTCAAGGAAGATACCAGTGAAAGTATGATACATATGTTCCACTGCAGTGAAAAATAAACTTATATAGAGAAAATACGCGAATTGTAAATATGCATTTATTTTAATGATATTTCTCAATATTTTATTCATAAGTGTGTAATAAAAATATATAATGTACTGGTTGAGAACCAGTTTCCTGACAATGATAGTTTCCGGACAAGTACGAAAACGGCTTTATTTTAAATTTATCGAAACCGAGTTTTCATCTGTATCATCAGGACGGTTGTTTTGACTTTTTGACAGAATAAACTTTTTTCCAGGCGAGAACATCAAAAAGTATCATAAAAACATCATACATGTATTATTAAAACAGCCTTACTTCCCTTCGGGGCTTTTAGTGCACTCTGCGCATGCGCATGATTTTGTCTATTTTTGGATACAATCCGGGGCCCAAACAATTGCATAATGCAGACGATTTTTCTTATTTTCCTTTTCTTAATATTTTTTTTACATAAATTTCGTATATATCAGAAAGTTGATAACATAAAAAATATTACTGTTAAAACAATTAAAAAATAAGGAAAATGAAATAAAGGAAATAAAGTAAAATAAGAGATGGGCCATCGGCAATTTTTCTATCCAAGGGAGTCAACTAGCACAAATTGGTGCAGTAATTATTTCTGTATGGTACATTCCCTTTATCTCCGCTGTATGTAAAACTGCGCATATTAAAATAATGCTTAATATTAAGTTTCATTAAAAATTTTAGACATAAATTTTAAGTATTTTTGCTGACATAGAAATTGTGATGTGTTTACTTGTATTTATGTTTTTCTAGTATGGTCAGAAAGAAATACGATGAAGCCAGCATGAAAATGGCCATTTCTGCTGTAAAGCAGAACAAGATGAAGATAAGAAAAGCAGCGGCGGAGTACTGCGTCCCAAAACCAAACTTATCTGACCGTATTCGAGGCCGTTATGAAACATCAGTAAAGGGGCCGAGTCGGCAGTTTTAGGGCCCCGAGGGAAAGGGCGGGTTTGGTTTTTACTGCCCCCATGGCAAATCGGGTTTTCCCAAATGGAAAATGACCAGAGCATATATTCAACAATTGTAAAGGGTTCGGGTGGGGGTTTTTTGTAAATGCTCTGAACCAATGTTAAAATTATAAAATTTTTCTAAAAGTCATGCAAAATTTAGAAAAAAAGGGTTTGTTAAACGGCAAAACGAGGGGGTTCGAATAAATCTTTTTCCCCTTTTTCATCCCTTGAAAAAAATTTTAAACATAAAAATTTACAATCAAGTGAAAATAAATTTTTTTTTTTTTTAAAATTTGGGTCGATGCACAAAATTATTAAACAAAAAATTGTATTCACACTTTTTCGGGACGGAAACACATTTTTTAAATTTAAAAAAAGGGTTTTAAAAATCAGTGGCTGAAAAAAAAATCATACAGCGGCACCCGGAATTATCCGAAAGAAAACCAGAAAATTCTGACAAGGCAAGATGTTCAATGTTTAACAGGAAAGTAATGGCTGATTTCTTTGTTCTTTTGGATGACATTCTTGGAAAATATGGCGTCAAAGACAAGCCGTCGCAGGTATATTCAAATTTGAAATTATATTGCTACTACAGCGAATCTTACTCGAATTATCTTTTCACATGTTAATTCGAAGCTCAGCTTTTTTTTTCCATGCGTCTCGAGTCGTTTTCATTTGTTACATTAGTATTCATTTTGCCGTGTGCAGTCCGTATACTAGACGCGGGAAATTATTTTTGATATTTGCGCATGCGTCAGTTGTCGTTTATTTTCGTATTGTCTACTTAGTCCATATTATATTTTGTAATTAATTTAAAAAATTTACTTTAAAGGCCCAAGGGTTTACTTTTTTTTATTTTAGTTTTTTAATTGTAAACGAAACTTGTTTTAATTGGAGAGAAAATCCGGGATAAAAAGTTATTGGTTAAAAAAAGGGGACCGTATTTCAAACGAAGAGTCACAAGGGGACTGATAAATTCACTGCGTTTTAAATGATTTGGGGAAAGTTTTGGGGAAAGATTTTTGAAACCCCAATGGTTTTTCCGGTAAAAATGTTTTTTTGAAAAAAATTTAAATAAAAAAATCACTAAAAATTGGGCGAACCTTAAATTATTTTTATTTCATTCCCAAATTTTTAATTCAAAACATTTAGTCCACATTTTTATTTTTTAAATTTAAGGTGTGATAGCTATCCCCCTTGTTTTATACAATTTTTTTACAATTCGTAAAAAAATCTATTTTCATATATTTTTATTTAAATGATAAGTTACAAAATTGTAATTTATTTTGCAAGGGTTCGCTTCCACACCGTAAATATACTGATGGAATACCAGATTCCTGGGTATATGCAACCAGTGAAAATGGGTACGTGGACACCCAGTTATTTCAAAGATGGTTTGCAGATTTTGTCATTCCCAACTGCGGCCGGGAACGTCCTGTTGTCCTTTTAATGGATAATTGTGACGCACATATCAGCGTTAAAGTGGTTAAAACAGCAATTTCAAATGATGTAGGTTGGAAGGACTTCAGGGACACACCACTCATATCCTACAACCACTTGACGTAAAAGTATGTAACGTTCAATGTATGATTTCAAAAATTCAATTTTCTGATTCATTCATATAAAGAGTGTTAGTGAACACGATTTTATTTAAAGTAAATGTTCAAATTTGCTTAGGTTCAAGGTTGCATTACAATTTAAAGATTATCTTAGTAAAATTCATAGTTGAGACTAGCATGGAATATAATAAAAAGAATAGGTCTAGATGTCTGTAATTTAAATGGGCAATAGCCCTATTTTTTAATTGTTTCTCAATACATTTGTACATACAATATTGAAAAAACATATCTTTCAGGTAAAAGACCCACTTAAGAGTCGTTTTTCTGAAATGACAGCAAGACTTGGTTTAGGTGGTGCTGGTGTAAGTACTGGGAAAGCAAAATTTCCTAATGTACTAAAACATGCAATTGACATTGCTACTCCAGCATCAGTTCAAGAGGCATTTGCTGTTCCTGGAATATGCCCAAACAATCCACAGGCCATTGATACTTCCCAGCTGGTGGAAGCTTCATTGGATCATCGTAACGGAGGTAATAAGATTAAATTTTGCACATTATTTTTGTCAATTTAACCCAATTTGCCCTTTTATTTAAAAGTTCAGTTCCAGATGGGCAATTTTACAGAATACAAACACCAATAAGTGCAGCGGAGCGGTTCGAACGATTTTTTAATCCTGGTAGTTTATGACATAATCAGTTTGATATAACGAAGTGTAAAAAACCTTTTAAAATGAACAAACTTGTTACATTCATTTTTTTCTAGAAAACAAAAGTGATGAACAAATAAAGACTTGTGATAAATGTGGTCACTTTCTATCAAATCCTCAAGTAAAACGTGGATTGATACCTGCGAGTCTTGCAGACATATTATTGCCTCCACCAGTAAAGCCCACTCAAGTTCAACGAAAAAAGAGGGTTGTAGCAGAGGGTCGTTTGATTAGTGGAGAAGACTTGCTTAAACAGCTAAAGGTTTGTCTCTTCAGCAAATCATTTGATACGTATAATGGTTAATCATATAAATTATGCATTTGACATAGTACAACAAAAGAATAAGATAAAAAAATGTGATACAAGCACAACTGACCTCGCAGGAAATTACATCTCAAGAAATCATTTCTTCGATGATATTTTAGTGCTTGTGATAAAAACGCATTTTTAATACATTTTAGGAGAAAGAAGATCTTGAGAAGAAGAAATTGAGGGTCTTGAAGGGAGAGAGAAAGATAGGGAAATGAAGAGGGAAAAGCGATTGGAAGTAGAGGAAGAGAGGCGCGCAAAAAAAAAAGAGAGAGAGGAGGAGAAGGAATTTAAACTAAACGAGAAAAGGAGAAAAGCTGAGCAAAGAAAAGAAAAAAGGAAATAAGCGAATTTGGCTGGCGCTGCAGCACTTATGGCTGGAATGTATGTGTGTGAGGTTAATGGGAGGTTTTGGTTTGGGTGTGATGAAGAGTTATGCCAACGGTGGTATCATGAGGAGTGCTTGACATATTGTGAAAAGATGTATGTACGAGAGAGCTTAGAGGAAGGTGGAGATAAATGGTTCTGTAAGCGGTGTAAACCATGGTTGTATGAAGAGGAGTGAAAAACAGTTATTGATAAAAGTTGTTGCACATTTCATACTAGCTTTGGTTTTAATACAAATTTGTTTGTCAAGCAATGCATTAAAATTATGTCAGTTAAATGATAAGCTATATTTGAAATTAAATTAAATATGCAAATTACAATAAATTTATGATTAACTAATGATTTTCAAAATAAAGATAAGCATAGCTATTCATACATGTTATGCTTTTTTTTTAATAATCCCCTAACAGTGAAACATCTGTCTGTTAAGATCACAGGTAGACACTCAAACGTTAAACGCTATTTTCCCATTTCATTGGCTAAAAATCGTAAAACACAATACATTATTCATATTTGGCACTCTTCATCATTATTTGGATATAATGTAGTAATTACTGAAAATATTTGGCAAATTGTAACGAATAAAATTCTGCAGATGTTTAAGTTTCATCTGCTTTTGTGCTTTATTCACAATTTTAAACATGCAATCACGCTGGCTATTTCTCAGTGGTACATATTCCCAGAGTTCATTTTTCTACTCGCAAAAAAATGTGCATACATCCTCATTACTAGCTAAAGTTTGAGACACGTATAATGTAGTTAATTTACTAAGAAAAGTCAGCGAATACAATTTAATTATCGTCTTAAATATATGTCCGGAAAATCGTTCGTTGAAAAGGTGGGGGAAATTAAACATTTTAATGCCCCTTTTTTTAAAAGTTCCCTTTTTTTAAATTAAACAATTCAACCCCGGGGAGTAAAAAATTTAAAAATTTTTTGACGAGGCTAGAGCTTTAACTTTTTTGGGATGGGAATTTTATTAGCATAAAAATTATTATAAAAAAAATCAAAACCCAAACGAAAAAAACCCCAATTTTTGTTCCCGGGAAATGGTTTAAATTTAAAACGTAATACAAATTTTTGTCTTTAGAATATTTTTACGAAACACTGACCGAAATTTTTTTTTCTGTTTTAAATAAATAATAAAAGTGTGTTTTAATATTTTTTAAAATTATATTATTTTTTTAAATTTTATTGTAATTACTTTGTATGGGAAAATTTTTTTATAAGAGTGAATGGGGCTTTTCTCTTTTAAAATTTTTAAACAAAAATATGGTTATCTTTAAAAAAAATTTTATCAAACTTTTTGCCTTTAACCCTTCCCTTTTTTTATCTTTTGGGAAAGTTTTGGCCGTCTACATTTCATTAAAAAGGCATTTTGTAATCTGTATACATTAAATTTAAATGGACCCTTTTTAAAGTATGAGTAATATTAATCTATTCATATTGATCAAAAACACAAAACGAGAGGATTTGCAGCATAACCCTTAGAGAAAATAAGCCGTATAAAAAGATATTCCTCTTTGTTCGTGTTTATCCACGCTGATTTTTAGCTCATCTGAGGACTATGTCCTCAAGGTGAGCTTTTGTGGTGGCCTATAGTCCGTCGTCCGATTGTCAACAATTTCTTGAAACAACTTCTCCTCCTAAACCACTCGGCAAAATTTGTTGAAACTTTACAGGAATGTTCTTGCATGAAGCTCTACCAAAGTTGTCCAAAGAATTTAATTCCAAAAAGAACACTGGTTGCCATTGCAACCGATTTTTAAGGAAAATCTTAAAAGATCGTCTTGTAAAAACAAATGTATATAGTAAAAAATATATATAAGCTTTTTGTGACAATCCAAAAGAGGAAGAGCTTAGATATTTGGCATGAAACATCTTCTAATACATGTCTACCAAGTTTGTTAAAAAAAATTCAAGGTTCAAAATTGGCCTCGCACAAGGGGTCATTGAATTTCCTTAAATGTATATAGTAAAGCCTTAAATAATCTTCTTATGAAAATCCAAAAGAGGTAGAGCTTAGATATTTGGCATGAATTATATTCTAATAGATGTCTACCAAGTGTGTTCAAATAAAATCCCTAGGGTTTAAATCGGTCTGGTCCTGGGGGGTGGGGGTAATTAATTTTCCTATTATTGTTTATAGTAAAAACTTTAAAATCTAATTGTGAGTGACAATCCAAAAGCACTATAGATTAGATATTTGGCAAGAAACATCTTCTAGTTGATTTCTACCAAGTTTGTTTAAATAAATGTCCAAGTGTCAAAATTGGCCCCGCGCCAGGGGTCATTGATAATCCTGTTTATAGTTCAAACTAGAAAAAATATTTTTGTGACAATCAAAAAGCACAATGGATTAGATATTCGGCATGAAAATAAAAAGGTTATGAAAATTGGAATTTGAATTGGTGTATCAAACATACAAGTCTTCCATGTTTGTTTAAAGGGTCAAAATTGGCCCTGACCCAGGGAATCGAGGTCAACAGTTAATTCCCCAGCCACTTGGTCAAATGTTTGTTTTCCCTCTATTTTTCTATCATCTTTTTATAAGCTCACCTCTGACATTTGAACTGTTTAATAAAATGGCTGCCTGAGTTAAAGTTAGAGAACAAAAACATCTAAAAAACCTTCTAAACCACTGGTCCAGTTTTGAAATAATTTTACACACAAATTTCCTTGGTGACAGTGTACTATTTTATTTTTAGATTAAGTTGTCCCTTGTTTTCAAATTATTGTGTTTCTGGTGTGAAAATGGGCTCCACTCTGACCTTTTGACCTATTTCTCAGGTAAACCATCCAGGGCCCTATGGGTCCTCTTGTTAAACATGGAGTACTATTTCTCTTACGGCCTCGACAAGTTTTCAGTAGAAAGATGAAGTGTATTATCCTTGTTATTAACTCGTTCTATTTATTTTAACTGTTTAATCGCATTTTTATATTTTTTTGTGACAGAAATCAGCAAACAATACAATGTTCAGTGTTTGTCCCTCTCTTGTGCCCTTTCTCTTTCGTTTCAAACGTTAACCCCAGAAAATTTAACCGTTTCTTACTAATTTATCTTTGTTTTTTTTATTTTTCCTGTATGTTTGATATACCAATTGTAACCTTTGTAAAATAAAACTACACTGATATAAACAAGGGGCAAACATTATGTTATAAATTTGTTGAGTTGTTTTGGCCTTTTTTCTATTTGACCTTTTTTCAACTTGGGTGGTTCCAGTATTCCTACTTGAATACTGTATAATCACCCTTAGGATATGTTGCCTGCTTTTTAAATTTGTGGGGCGTCCGTGGCCGAGTAGTTAAGGTCGTTGACTTCAAACCACTTGCCCCTCACCGCTGATGGTTCGAATCCCGACATGGATTTTGGATTCTATCATGTGAGGAAGCTCTCCAGCTAGCTTACGGAACGTCGATGGTTCTATTCAGGTGCCCGTTCGTGCCTGAAATAATGCACGGAGGGGCACCTGAGGTCTTACTCCACCATTCAAGCTGGAGCGTCGCGATATGACCAATACTGTGTCGATGTGACGTAAACCCCCCCCCCCCCCAAAAAAAAAAAAAATTGTCTTTTGACGTCTTGTCTGTTATTTGCAGGATTCATAACCTCAGATCCCCTTTCAGAATTCCAAAATAAAGAAACAATATCAAATATGATAAACAAGATCAACAAGGAAAGTCGGCGTTCAATGAACGTTCAAGCCATGCAATAAAAAGCTATAAGATCATATACACTTGATCGCTAAAAGGTTTTTGATCGACTGCCCTTTGTGACTGATCACTTTGTTTCCAAAATTTTGTACTTCACAACAGCAGGTGCCAAGTGCCGTGTGGCAGCTGTAAAAAGTTGCCCCGTACTTCACTTCAGTGTTGTTATATTTTCTGGTCCTTCGGGATCATTGATGCCAGCACTATTAAGTGTTGAGAATTGAGTACCGCTCAAGCCTGTGCTAGGGGGCGTGAGGGATGTTGCACTTATTCATTATTTCTCATGTACAGACTTAATAAAACCGAGTCTGAATTTCTTATGTAATTTTGTTGTGATTAATGCTTCCGAGGAATCATTGTGTTTCCAGAATTTACTACCCGTCGTGATATGTTTTATGTATAAAATATGATAAACAAGTTCAACAAGGAAAGGCAGCGTTCAATGAACACACACGAACACATACACACACACACGCGCGCGCACTTATCAATTCAACAAACATGTTCACTAATAGTCAAATAGTACATAAAGCAACAAAACAACAATGATAAAACAAATGATACTTTTTTGAAACATTTATTCGTATTCACCATGGATACTACAAAACCAAGACAATGCAATACCATATATAAATTTGGTGGTATAGTCTGATTAGTAATTAATACATTAGGAATAAATACCAACACTGTGTTGCTTTACACATTGGTAAATAAGAAAAAAATAAGTGGATATAAATTACAACAATGATGTTAATGTTTATTAAATTCTACTATTATACGTTTTCGATACAGTCTGAATACATTTGTAAGTTGTACCACGTGATTATTTGCCAATACGTCAAACATACAGTCCGACCCCGGTTATTCGACAACCCTTTATTCGAATACCCAGCATTATCCGAAGTAGATCGGCGGTCCCGTATTTATCTCTATATAAATCAATGTAAATACGAGCGTATTATTCGAAATGCATTATCCAAATACCTCCTATTTTTCGAAGTAAAATTCCGGTCCCGATTTTACAATTATGAAAGAATTTGACACCTATTATTCGAAGCCAGCCTAATTATTATTCGAAGCCAGACTAATTGGCGCAGATCCACTCGCTGACCGGTCGACTTGTGAAAAATATCAACAGTCATGCGTGTATTTAGACAGTCATGATAATAACTCTAATCAACTTTAATTACCGAAAATGAAAAGCAATGCACCGTGTCCGATTTATCACTGTTAATGATATATTTTTCATACATACCGTACATGTTAATTTGTCAAAACATCCAAAACATTTTTTTCATAAATTGTAACGCTACATGAAATCCTTTATCCTAATCCAAAAAAACAGAGTTTAGCTGTACATACCGTAGTGACAACACGGTCATTATCAAGGCTTCGCGCGAAACGAAACGATACGATACATAATGTAGAATAAAATGCAAGTAGTTATGTCTTAAAAGTCAATACAATAATTTTACGCATCTTTTCTTTAATATTTATTTTTCTCAATTGATTACAGGAAGTAAGTGTATTGTAAAAGGTAGTTTTGATATGATTGCTCAAAATGGAGTAGTTTTCGTCTATCACAATATTCCGATCTCGATTATTCGAACCCATCGATTATTCGAAGTAAATATTCAGTCCCAGGCACTTCGAATAA